ATGACCCCATGACAAAATCGCGACCCACCGTGACCCCGCGATGGTCGCAAGACGACCCCAACAGGGCCCTACGACGACCCGAACTTCGTGGCCCAAGTGTAGTTCCCGGACGAATCCGTGAATCCAAGATGATCCCAAGGTGGCCCATACGAGCCCCGACATGACCCCAAGAAAAGCCTTTGTGGGGCTAAGACGGAGCCAGAAGCACCGCGTGACGCCGAATCGACCCCGAGATCACCCAACGATTCAAATATGACACCTATGGCCCCAATATGACCCAATGCGAATCCAATCTGGAAGCAATACAACAATGCCATGCGGCTACTCACGTCGAGTATTCCTTCCAGGGGAAGGTAAGTCCTCATCGGCTCAGGGCCGCGCTACGTCGATGCCAGTTGGCCCGATGACGGACGAGTTCTAGGTGCCAGATGCAAATGTTCTAGGTGCCACTTAGGGCGGTTTAGGTTTCTTGGTGCCCTCTTTGACCGTCCCCCCCGACCCTGGCGCACATTGTCCGGGGCCTTCCGCGGCCCGGAGGGGGGGGGTCAAATTGCAGATTTGGGGTCCCTGGCGAGGGATTATAAGGGGGGCAATCTCACACGCCTAGATACCCGCAAGGGGTCGGCGGATTCAGGCGTGAGGGGCCACAAAGTGACGACAACTATAGGATTCGGATGACCCGCTTGGGTTACCTATATGAAGTGCGGGCCCCAGAGGGAGGAGGCTCCCGACTGAGACTTCCTCGCAAGTCACTCGCAAACGAGGCTCCCGCCTGAGGTTTCTTCAAGATTCAGGCGAGAGGGGCCAAAAAGTGACGACTGTTCAAGCGCGAGGAGCCTCAAAGTGACGACAGTTACAGGATTTGGATGACCCGCTCGGATTGCCGATATGAAGAGCGGGCCCCATAGGGAGGGGGCTCCCGCTTGAGAATTCCTTGAAATTCACGCACAAACGAGGCTCCCGCCTGAGGCCTCTTTCAATTCAGGCGTGAGGGGTTTAGAACTGACGAAGGATACAGGATTTGGATGACCCGCTCGGATTACCAACATGAAGTGCGGGGCCGGGCTCCTTCCTGAAACTTGAGGTTCCCACCTAAGGCTTTTTAGAATTCAGGCGTGACGGGTCCAAAAGCCTACGGGATTTGGATGGATCGGTCGGATTACCAACATGAAGTGCGGGCCCCATAGGGAGGGGGTTCAGCCTGAGACGTCCTCGCAAGTCACTCACAAACGAGGCTCCCGCCTGAGGTTTCTTCAAGATTCAGGCGAGAGGGGCCAACAAGTAAGTACAGTTACAGGATTTTGATGACCTGTTCGTATTACCAACATGAAGAGCGGGCCCCATAGGGAGGGGTCTCCCGCTTGAGATTTCTCCTCAACTCACTTGCAGACAAGGCCCCTCTTGGTCGAATATCAGGATGGGATGGTGATGATGATGACGATGGTGGTGTGTGCTGCTGATGGCCGACGATCATGATGGGATTCTGACATGATGGCGATTGAGTGATGAATGGATGTTATTGAGTCACATAGTGGGTGGAGGACGATGAGGGTTGATGATCCTCATGGGATTGTGGTGATGATGGTGATGATGATGATGATGGTGAGTTGGATGATGGTTGCTGGTGCTGATGTTATCCTTGGTTTTGGTGATGATTATGACGATGATGACAATGACAGAAAGAGTGGGTGTGAAGAGGGCAGGGTGTGGGTGAGGATTGCGCGAGGTGTCCAGAGAAAACAAAAATCCAACTCAGGATGTGGGGGGCGATCACCGGACAGCTCGCCCATTGGCCTCCCGCCAGCCCCACGCCAAGAGGCGAGCATAGATACGGGCGCACCACCGCGCTGGATGCAACGCATTCGGCTGGGCCAGGCAAGTGAAGACCCAACACTGCATCGCGTGACGCGTGGATGCCCGCACCGACCGCGACTATTTTCAGGCCCTGCCCACAACTCGCCCCTCCGCCCTTCCTCTCATCCATCCCCCCCTTGTCGTCCAGCTCCTCCGACTCCTCCTTCCGCCGCCCCCTCCCTCTCCTACTCCCTCCTCGTCATCCGCCTCCTCCCTCGTCCTGCACCTCACCCTCCTCGTCCTGCGCTTCCCCCTGGTCCGAGCAGGTAAGCATGGTGCCCAAGACGTGGTAGTAAGCACGCTGCGTTCCCTAATGAAAAGCGTGTTTGAGCGCGCGTGCGGCTGCGGGCAGGCAAAGCCGCAGGCAAAGCCAATTGATCTTCAGCCCAATGTTGATTGTGATCCATATTCCAACGCTGTGGCTGCATGGTGCGCCCCGAACCCCAGACCAACGAATTGAGCCTCAACCCGATGTCGAACGTGATCCATAGTCCAACGCTGTGGTTGCACGATGCGCCCCGTACCCCAAACCAACGAATCCGCCGATCACTCCTGACCGCCAGTGCGTGGCACATGGTGCTGCTTGGTTGCGTCCAGAGCGTATCTTCACCGCCCTGGCTTAAAACTGCCAGCGACATATCCTCACCCCCTGACCTGAAACTGCCAGCGAACTCTCCTCGCACCCCTAGCCTAAAACTGCCAGCGAAATATCCTCACCCCCTTGCCCAAAACTGCCAGCGAGATGTCCTCAACCCCCTGGCTTCGAACTGCCAGCGAAACATCCTCACACCCTTCAGCGAAAGATCCGCACCCCCGGCCTAAAACTGCCAGTGAGATATCCTTAGCCCCCTGACTTACAACTGCCAGCGACACATCCTCACCCCCTCGCTTAAAACTGCCAGCAGCGAAATATCCTCACACCCCTCAGCGAAATATCCTCACTCCCTGTCCTTGAGGCGCCAGCGAGATATCTTTAACCCTCTGACTTGCAACTGCCAGCGATACATCCTCACACCCCTCAGCGAAATATCCTCACCCCCTGACCTAAAACTGCTAGCGAGATATCCTCACTCCCCTGACGTATATTTGCCAGCGAAATAGCTCCACCCCTCGCTTAAAATTGCCAGCCGCGACGCATCTTCACACCCTTCAGCAAAATATCCTCACCCCGTGGCCTAAAACTGCCAGCGAGTTATCCTCAACCCCGTGACCTAAAACGCCAGCGAAATATCCTCACGCCCCTGTCCTAAAACTGCCAGCGAAATATCCTCAACCCCCTGGCCTGAAACTGCTGGCGCGCTATCCTCGCACCCCTCGCTTAAAAACTGCCAGCGAAATATCCTCACCCCCTTGCACAAAACTGCCAGCGAGATGTCCTCAACCCCCTGGCCTAAAACTGCCAGCGAAATATCCGCACTCCCGGAAATAAAATTGGCATCTAACGATTTTGGTGATTCAGTTCAGTTGTGTCAGTTCTGTTTATTTCCCGAAAATCGAACGACGGGCTGCGCCCGTAGAAATTACCCTGGCGAAGGACAACAATATGCAGTTGCGAGTGCCGCGTTGTGGGTACCGGTCTCGGTGGAGCTCCCTATGGGGCCACGAAATGTTATCCTGGATGGCGTTGACGCATGCGGCCTGTGCCACTGGAGCCTTCGGTGGAGCTCCCTATGGGGCCACGAAACGCTGTCCTGGGTGGCGTTGACGCATGCGGCCTGTGCCACTGGAGCCTTCGGTGGAGCTCCCTATGGGGCCACGAAGCGCTGTCCTGGGTGGCGTTGACGCATGCGGCCTGTGCCACTGGAGCCTTCGGTGGAGCTCCCTATGGGGCCACGAATCGCTGTCCTGGGTGACGTTGACGCATGCGGCTGTGCCGCTGGAGCCTTCGGTGGAGCTCCCTATGGGGCCGCGAAACGCTGTCCTGGGTGGCGTTGACGCATGCGGCCTGTGCCGCTGGAGCCTTCGGTGGAGCTCCCTATGGGGCCACGAAGCGCTGTCCTGGGTGGCGTTGACGCATGCGGCCTGTGCCACTGGAGCCTTCGGTGGAGCTTCCCTATGGGGCCACGAAGCGCTGTCCTGGGTGGCGTTGACGCATGCGGCCTGTGCCATGGAGCCTTCGGTGGAGTTCCCTATGGGGCCACGAAGCGCTGTCTGGGTGGCGTTGACGCATGCGGCCTGTGCCACCTGGTGGAGCTCCCTTACGCATGCGGCCTGTGCCACTGGATCCTTCGGTGGAGCTCCTTATGGGGCCGCGAGACGCTGCCCTGGCTGGCGTTGACGCATGCGGCCTGTGCCACTGGAGCCTTCGGTGGAGCTCCCTATGGGGCCACGAAGCGCTGTCCTGGGTGGCGTTGACGCATGCGGCCTGTGCCACTGGAGCCTTCGGTGGAGCTCCCTATGGGGCCACGAAGCGCTGTCCTGGGTGGCGTTGACGCATGCGGCCTGTGCCAGCCTTCGGTGGAGCTCCCTATGGGGCCACGAAGCGCTGTCCTGGGTGGCGTTGACGCATGCGGCCTGTGCCACTGGAGCCTTCGATGGATCTCCCTATGGGGCCACGAAGCGCTACGTGGGTGGCGTTGACGCATGCGGCCTGTGCCACTGGAGCCTTCGGTGGAGCTCCCTATGGGGCCACGAAGCGTTGTCCTGGGTGGCGTTGGCGCATGCGGCCTGTGCCACTGGAGCCTTCGATGGATCTCCCCATGGGGCCACGAATCGTTGTCCTGGGTGGCGTTGACGCATGCGGCCTGTGCCACTGGAGCCTTCGGTGGAGCTCCCTATGGGGCCACGAAGCGCTGTCCTGGGTGGCGTTGACGCATGCGGCCTGTGCTACTGGAGCCTTCGGTGGAGTTCCCTACGGGGCCACGAAACGCTGTCCTGGGTGGCGTTGACGCATGCGGCCTGTGCCACTAGAGCCTTCGATGGATCTCCCTATGGGGCCACGAAGCGCTGCACTGGGTGGGTGAAACGCAGGGAGGTGACGAGGCGGATGGGAGGAGGGAGGATGGGGGAGGAGGAGGAGACGAGAGGAGTGACGCGCGGCGCGGTCTCTTTATAACGAGGGCCCAACACCACAGGATGGTTGGGAAAAAGACACCCCACCCGTGTGTCCCAGGACGCCCTGAGACGTTTCGAGAGCGCCCCAAGAGGTTACGACGTGGATCCTCAGTGGAGGTGGTGAGAGTTGCGACGAAGCCTGCAGTGCGTCGGGCAGTTCATGCGACGCTTCAGCTGACTGGCCTACGACCGAAGCGGCCGTTTCAATTGTTGGTTCTCTCTTGGGACATTCGTGCGATCAGTCTACGAACTATGGTGGCGATTGGGAGTTCGCACCTTACACCTACACGCCCGATGGGCGCTGCAATTATCCAACAAGTGCGACATATCCGACATGCAGTGCAGCGGGCGCAGACGCAAACATCCGCCGCTTCTGCCCATGTACACCAACCGTGCAGGCACTTGCTGCTGCTGCTGCTGCTGCTGCTGCTGCTGCTGCTGCTTGACATTCTATTCTCCAGATCCACAATGGTAATTCGTGTTACCCTCTTCCTTTTCACTGAGCTCGTCCTCCTCGCGCTCCCTCTTGCCTGCTTGACATCCCATTATTTCCAGCACGTCCACCTCATCTTCATCCTCCTGCTCCTCCCTCTCCTCCCCCCATCCTCGGCTGCCTGCTTCTCGTGCTCTCTCCCAGCCCTTCTGTGTCCGGCCCCCGTCTTGATAACAGCACTTGTTGTTGCGGCTCTCACGCTTCCTCTCCCGTGTGCCTCCTCCTTTCCCTGGGCATCGCCCGGACGCGTGCACTTTTTCTTCGGCGAGGACCATTGAGGAGACGTTGGGATCATCTTGCGAAACAAGGCACGCACGACATCGAAAAAATACACGGCGAATGGACGTCCGAGCGATGCCAAAAGCTCCTCCATCGTCCACACCCCTTCGTCGCTCCCTCCTGGCGCTCGCGGCATCTCTCCCCTCGCTCCAGCAACTGGGTGCAGCGGATGTTGCCGGACGTGCAGCTGCCGCCACCTTGTCGTGCCCCCGGGGGCTCCAGCCGAGCGGTGCCCTGCTCGTGCGCCAATGCGCACGGAGACGCGCGACGAGGACCGAGCAGGAAGGCGACTCGGCGGTCCGAGCTCGGCCACGGCGCGGTGGAGGAGGGGCATCTTGCGCGAGGGCACCGGCACGTTCTGCGCCGTCGGGGCCGAGCAGGACGGCCTGGTCTCGGCCGCTGAGGTTCGTCGACTTGCGGCAGCAGCTGCACCCAGCAGACTGCGCAGCGCGTTGTCGGCACCACCGCCCACAGATCAATGCCGCAGTAGCTTCAAGGACAGACGACCCGTGCTCCGCACGGCACCTCAATCACGGCACCACGGTTGTTGAGAGGCTTACGACAGGTCAGGCGTTGCCAGGGCTCGCCGCCGAACGCGAATCACTTCTGTCTACAGGGATACCCTGCGTCTTTGTTGTGCAATCGGATGTTTGATGATATTCGGCAGAGAAACCAATGAGGGGAATCCCCCCCCCCAGGGGGGTCAGCCTCATTGGTTTCTCTGCCGAACGCAACAGTCGATCGTTCTGGCCTTGCGATCCGGCCGTCTCCAATGAGGCTGACCCCCCCCCCAGGGGGTCAGCCTCACTGGATTCGGTGGGTTTCCAAGGCCAGATCGATGAACTCTTGCTCAGTGCGCAAAATCAAACCGGTTTGGTCCTTCACGTAGTTTTGATGACGGCGTGACCATTATTTGGGTGCGAAGATGACGACGTGATTCATGAGGCAATGATGACGTCGAGGCGATGATGGCGTGATGATGATGATGACGTGCCGATGACGTGATGATGATGGCGTGGTGGCGGCGTGCGATGGATTGGTTGCGATGATGACGTGGTGATGACGAAGGTTGCACTCTGGACCGCGCACATATCACACATGTACATCACATCCAACCGAGAGCACACTATAGGTCGAAACATCACATTACCACCCAGATTGCAGATCATAGACCACATCACATTCAATGCGTAGCATATGTTGCATACCAAAAGCTGCGTCCCATTGCACCGCGTCGATTGCATCCCGCTGTTTGTGCCACATGTGTGTAGACACGCACACACATATAGTATGTGCACATGTACAGACGCAGACAATGTTTGTATGTATGTGTATATCGCAATATATACATATGGACAGCACCGTGTATATTGCACGACATGTAAGACAACGCGTTGGCTGCATCACGTAGTTTGCACCGAACGTATGGTCCCCGTATATAGCAGCACTGACGAATGACACCAACAATGTTGCACCATATAGATCGTGCTACACGCATACTGTATCACATATAGTGCACGACGTGTGTACACAGATGTACATACCTCTGCATGTGTGTGGTGCGCGTCGTATGCGTATTCCCAAAAATGTCCTGCTGTGGCCAGAACAACTGATTGACGCTTCGCGTATCCCCAACCAGCCCATCCAGAAACGATGCCCAGGCGAGTTGAGGTAATCAAAGAAGCGTGAGAGCAAAGAAGGGGTAGCCGTTATCGTTCGAAGGAAAAGGGGGATGGATGAGGGATGAGGGAGGAGGGAGAAGGAGGAGACATTGGCGGATGAGGAGGGGGAGAATGAGGAGGAGGAGGAGGAGGAGGAGGAGGGCGAGCATGAGGGACATACGCCTCTTGGATGCGTTTCGGAGTCTCTAGGGACATCTCTTGGGCATTCCGTGGAGGCCTCTTGGGGCGTCTTGGGGGCCTCTCTTGGCGGCCCTGGGGACCTCTCTAGGCATATTTATGTGCTTCTGGGGGGGGGATCTTGGGGCCTGTTTGGGGCCGCTTAAGGGGCCTCTCATTGTGTTCTTGGGGGCCTCTTGGGCGCTTCTTGAGGCAATGTTGCAGCTCTTTGAGAGGCCGTGGATGCCTTTCTTGGGCCATCTTGGAGGACATCGATCTCGGAAGTGGGAGCCCTCAATCAGCGCTGCCCCTCTTGAGCCTCCAAAGTCGCCTCGTGGGGCGCTCTTGGGCGTTCGTGGGGCTGTCTTGGGGCCATATTGGGCATCTCTTTGGGCCCTCTTAGGCCATCGTGGAGCCATCTTGGGGCTTCAGAACCCCATCGGGAGCGAACAAGCGAGAAGGCACACGTCATTAATGTTATTTAGGTTCGCGAAAGGGTTTGGGTTTCTCGTGGGCGTCATTGAAAGTCTCCGTTGCCAATTGTTCCCATCTTGGGACCATCATGGTGTTTCTTGAAGGCATATTGGAGGCCGTCTTGGATACTTTGTGGCCGGATTGCGTCGTATTTACAGCTATTTTAAAGCATCTGGGGCCACCTTGGAGCTCTATTGCGCCAAAAGACTCCCACAGAGGCCCCCGAAAAGCTAAACACTATCAAACCTGTGTGCGTGTGTGTTCTCAATGTGTGTGTGTGTGTTGATCAAAGATCGGGGGGGTCAATTAGCGCTGCCCGTCTACAGTCCCTAAGATCGCCTCTTGGGGCACTCTTGGGCTCTCCTGGGGCTGTCTCGGAGGCCTCTTGGGCCCCTCTTGGGCCTCTCTTGGGCCCTCTTGGAGCCATCTTGAGGTATAGGCTATCGGAAGCGAGCCTGCGAGAAGGCCAAACTCACTGATTAGATCAAGGCTTGGGAAGGATTTGGGCCTCCTGGGGCCACTTGCACCCGTCTTAGAGCGGCATGATCTCTTGGAGGCCATCTTGCGCCATCTTTGATGCCATCTTGAAGCATATGGGGCCGTCTTGGAGCCCCCTTGGGCCAAACGCCTCCCAAAGATACCTCCGATAAGCAAACATCCTTTAAAGCCAACGTGGTGTTAAAAGTATGTGTTGCTCACACAGCGGGGATAATTTGCCCTGCACCTCGAAAGCCCCTTATAATCGCCTCTTGGGGCCCTCTTAGGCTTTTAGGGCGCTCTTAGAGCTGTCTTGGAGCCCTCCTGGGCCTTGGGCCATCTTGGAACCGTCTTGAGGCTTCCCGGAAGCGACAAGGCGAGAAGTCAAACAACACCGATTACATTTAGGTTTGGGAAAGGTTGTGGCCTGTTGGGGGCGTCCTCTGGAGGCCCCAAAGCCATTTGAACCCGTCTTGGGGCGATCTTTTGGCATTTTGAAGCATATTGGCAACAATATTGAGCCATCTTAACCCACCCTGGATGTCACCCTGGGCTCTCTGAAGCCATCTTGGAGCCATCTTGGGCCATCTTGGACGCTCCAGCGCCTCCCCGCCCCCCCGTCCAGACCCAGGGGGAGAGGGGGAGAGGGAGGGGCAAACCCATCCACAAAGGGGAAAAAGGACGATGGAATAGCAAACGCTGTAGACCAGTTGCGCCCAGAAGCCTGGTGGGATTCTGGCCAGAGGTCCTCCGGCAGAGACATCCGCAAAATCTGTCAGTGGTCGGGCCTGTTCTGGATCCGAGGGGCCATCTATAATAGTAGTCGTATACGAGACGTGTCATATACAAGAGTGGTCGTTTGCAAAACTTGTCATGCACGAGAGGCCCACGTGGCTGTCCCTTGGGCCCCCTTGGGGCCGCCTTGGGGCCCGCTGTCGGCCGTCTTGGGGCTCTCTTAGGGCCAGGACCCTCCAGCGCGGTCTCAGCGGGCCTCAACAGGGCTCCAAGAGGAGCCAATAGCCTGTCACGAACGAGGTGTTTTGTGACAGGTTGTTGGACCCTGAGGTTCTCTTGGCGTCATCTTGGGGCCCTCTCGGGGCCTTCCAGGGCCTTCCAGTGCGGTTTCGGAGGGCCTCTTGGGCCCCAAGATGGCCCCCGACGGATGCTACAACGCCCCCCGTGTTGTAGCATCCGTCGGGTGCCTTCTTGGGGCTCTCTTGGGGCAGTCTTGGGGCCCCATCGGGGCCGTCTGCGGGCTCCCCCCGCGCCTTCAGAGCGCCCCAGTAGGACTCCAAGAGGGTCCCAAGATTGCTCCAAAGAGGGCACCCAACGGATGCCACAACGCACCCCCCCGGTTCTAGCGTCCGTCGGGTGTCTTTTTGGGGCCCTCTTGGGCCCCTTCCGAGGCTCTCTTGGACCCCTCCGCGGGCTCCACCACCGCCTCCAGAGGCCCCCAAGAGGGCCCCAAGAGGCCCCCCAACGGATGCTACAACGCACACAAACGCACACCCCAGTTGTAGCATCCGTCGGGGGGGCCTCTTGGGGCCCTCGTGGGGGTCATCGTGGGGTCCCCTTGGGGCTCTCCCAGAGCCTCACGGGCCCTCTTGGAGTCCTCTTGGTCACTCTTGAGGCCCTTTAGGGGGGCCCTTTTCGGGACTTGGGCACGCACGTGACGTGCCACTTGTATGTATTGTATTCCGGGGCTGGAAGAGAGAATCCCTTCGACGACCCACGCCCGGAGGGCTTGTGGGATTGCAGGGTCATTGCAGGGCATTGCACTGTCATTACAGGGCATTCAAGGGTCTTTGCAGGGTGTTGCAGGGTCTGGTTTGCAGGG